CTGATAAGTAAATTCTAAATGTGGCGCAGACACAATAGAATTAGCGGAGCCGATGTCCCCCAGCTAGTGGGGCTCGCATCATTTACAGCTGTCCAACGAGCCGTATAAATTAATATAGCTAAGCAGTTAATTAAACGAATTTAAGAAAAATTACCAAGAAAAGATAACGGCATAAAAATACGCGACCCACACACTGGCGACGATTGAAAGAACAATTTTATTTGAGTTTTGGCTCTCTTCTAATGAGATCTCAGTTCTGTTTGCTTATTGTTAACATTAAATAGTCAACAAAGTGTTTACTAAAATATTTTTAAATACCAACTATAATCAAAGGGAAAAGCAAATAATTAATTGATAATAAATATCAAACAATATTATATATACTTTTACAATTTGAATTTATAACAACTCATGCTGCTCTAATCTGGACTGGCTTTCGCCACGAGCAGATTTTCCAAATATTCCAGTTTCCCTTCTGTTTAGACCCAAAAATAAACGAAAACGCCCACGCAAATAAATATTTCGCTTTTTATTCCCGGACTAAATAGATTTTCTTGAAATTGTTAGTATGTTTATGAAGGTATAAAAACCAAATAAAAAACTTGCTGAATAGAAAACGCACTTAAAGCATTTAGCTAAAACTCTTCTGACTATTAATCTAAAAAATAGACTATAAGACTAGTCAATCTACATATATGAAGATAGATAGATGATATCAAGCTTTTATTTCGATCAAAGATGCTGCTTATTAAAATATATATAGTAGGGTTTATTCCTTATATCGATAATATATGGAACTAGACAGCTCTGAAAGTATATAAATGCAGCAAATTACTAAATATTCCGTTAAATACTCAAAAATAAATTTAAAATGAGCCATGCTTCACCTTTAGCATTTCTTTTTGCTTAAAACTGAACTTTTGCATTTATGCAGTGGGCAAGTTTTTGCCTTTGATTCATTATAATAAGTGCATGGAAAAAGTTGCATTTCTATAATTACAAATATAAAGCAAACGCCCGATGGAACCAAATAACCGCGATGTTGTTTACCAGTTGACACTGAGAACAAAAAGTGGCCAAAATATACATACATATATTATAGCAAATGCCAAAAGTTGCTCGCCCACACAAACAGAGAAGCACAAACAGACAAAAGAGCGCAAGAGAGAGAGAGAGAGAAAGAGAGAGAGAGAGAGTGAGATAAGCAGATAGTGTAAAAGAGTGAGAATAGACATAGGGCAAGAGCAGGTTGGGGCATTGGCACAGAAACGAAATGAAATGCAGACTGGCTGTCGCCTCGTTAGCCAGCCAGAACTATGCAATATAGTTTTTGGTCTCCGCTCTGCGAAACAGTAATGAAAATCCTTGCAGGACACGTTGCCAGTTGGAATGCCACATGCAAATATCTTGCTGAACAATTAAGCTCAGTGTCATTTTGGAAAAAATGAACATTAATTGGAACTGTTGTCGCTGGGGCTGCAAAAAGTCCCCCTACCCCTCTTCCTGGTTAACTAAGTCCATTCATGTGTGTGCCATGGGGTGAGTGTGAATCGCATATGTCTGATACCAGAATACATTGTAATGCGAACGAGGTCATTCATAAGCTTCTTCGCTCATTTACACAGAATTCCAGGGAAATTGGGTTTAATTGCTTTGACATTAGCAAGTAATTAGAAGTTGTAGATGGGTGGGTGAGCCCAATTAATTTATGAAATATCCAAATATCTCCTAATGTAGTTTAAAGTTGTGGTGAAATTAATATTAAATGAAATCGTTTAAAGTTTCTACGAAATGAAATTTCACTCCTTGTTTGAGTGCAGCATTCTGAGAACATAGTATAAATTTATTTTTGGGGAATTCTCTGTGTGTGCTAATACATTATTAATGAGCTGCCCAACAAGGTGAAAGCAGTTATGTGTCCCAGTGCATGTCTCTTCGCAATCAAAGTCGGGCTAATAAAGGCATGACTGCTTTGATAAATTGAGAATTCTCGAAATTACAAGGTTAATAACTTTTAAGTGCTTCTGAGAGAAATGTGCGAGTGTTGGATAATTAAATCTATATGTCTCATCTTCCATTTATAACGTACAGCAGACTCAAGTGTTGCGAATATTTTTTATTTTTTTATTTTTATTTATTTATTTTTTTTTTTTATCAAAAAACGAAAAGTAAAATCTGAACACCAAGTGTCAAGAAACAAAGAAACTAACCATGGCTGAGTCGAATTGGATAACTCTAACAAAAAAGCAACAGAGAGAAGCGAACAATCAAAATAATAATAAAAGTGAAGGGATCTCTGTCATGTCTCGCTACTGGACAGTGAAAAGTTGGGGCAATTGGCTAGTAAAGTGCCACATGGGTTGTGGTCCGTTAACGATGGCAAAGAAAATATGGAATTGGTGTCACGTGCACGTGGTCCAGCGAAAAGGGTTCCATTAAAACTAATTGGCATTCTAATTGCTGGACTCCCACTCCAGTGCGAGCCAACCGTAGCTGTAGCCGTTGCAACTGCCCACGCAGCAATCCAATTTGAGAATCTAATTGTTATAATCGCCTTTTGTGGACAAAAATGGAACTCGGCCGGAATAAAGCAGCGCTGATTCCCGTCGGTAAATGGGATGCTCAATAGCACCTGCTAGCCCTGAACTTCCCACCACCTAGCTAGCCACCTCCCACCTGTCACCTGGCAGTAGCCAGCAGCCACCTGCCATTTGCAACCTGCCAGCAGCAGATGCAAATCGTTGGGCATTTAACATGCCACGGGACAACAGTTTCAGTTACAGTTACAGCTACAGTTGCAGTTACTGCAGAAGCTCGACCACAGACGATTTACTGCAGCTGCTGAGAGATAACGAATGCCAAATGCAAAACACGCATACGTTGTGTTCTACAAGCCCCCTCGTTAGCATTGTAGTTGCACTGCGCTCTCGCCGCCACAGCTACAGCCACAGCCACAGCCACCACAACTACAAAAACAACATTTGCGTCAGTTGTTTTTCTTTTTTCTTTTTTTTTATGCCTATTTTGCCAGTAGCCACAAATCACGCCGCGAACTCTGCATTAAGCTAAGAGCTGCCATGTGTTAAATTGATTTGATTATACGATAGACGCGCGGACCGCCGAGAAGCCAATAAATAAACATAAATATAAATGTGTATACACCATCGATATCGACACAAATTTGTAGAGAGGGTATCATCAAGTTGTCTTATATGTAAGTCATGAAAATAGGCCTGGGGAAGTGGGGGGAAAGAGAGCCAAACATTCAATGTAAACAGCTTTAGCATTATTAACCGAAGACAGCCTTAAAAAAATGGGGAAATATAGACTAATTTTGATTAATAATTTAATTAATTTTGACTTAGATTAAAGACTTTTTTTATTAAGTGCGAGAAGTTCATTCTCCCCCTGGAGACTTTAAGAGACAGCAATCCACACATTTAATGTAAGCAGTTTTAGTATTGTTAACCGAAGACCATTTAGTTTTGTTTTATTAATGTTAATTTTTAAATATATATATATGTATTAAAATAACTAATTTGTATCAAGTGCAGCCCATCTGCGAGTCGTTCATTCTCCACAGTCGTAATTTTTATGTGTTTTATTATTATGTGCGCGTGCTTTGCTTGATTTGTTGGCCCAAATGCTGTGTTGACGGGCTGGCTGACAGGGTGCGAGGGGTCCACTTACACAGGTGAACGCGGGTGTCTGGTGGATATTATCCGGGCACTTTAATTTGATACATGTGTAAAAAGCTGGCGTAATAAAATTATATAGTTCATTGCGTATATTTCGCTGTTACATGTATTGTCTCAAGGATGTCTACAGCTACTACGAATTGATAAGAAAGGGTTAACCAATGGTATTCTTTTTATGAAGGCATAGATACATGAATTTGAATTAACATTATACATTAAAATGATTATGTGGAGCTCGGTAACATAATTTGTTGCCATATATATACTTCTTACGAAAAAAAACATGAGAAGTATGAGTATAACAATTTTGTTAATTTTGTATTTTATTTAACAATAAGTTTACTAAATAAAATCGAAAAATGCCTCTGGAATATGTGCATATACATACATTCGATCTGACATTTAATTTCATTTACTTTTCTCTATTAAAACTAATCGATAACCTGGATATTGAAGTAACTGAGATAGATTTCAGCCGTTTTTAGTGATACTCAAACATTAAAGTGAGCATTGTTAAAGGAAGTTCTTAAGGAAGTTTAAAATGAAAGAATGAAAGCTATTCTGTAAAAAGTGACTTGTCTAAAGAGTTGCTTAAATATAAGGAAGAGAGATTAGTAGTTCAACAAATAATCTTTCTTCCTCAGACTTAAGCAACAAATATCTGAATAACAAAAAGCTTTTAAAAAAGTTTAAAGCTGTTTGCCTGGCTAAGATTAGAACTTTGTGGTAGCTTGCTAAGCAAATTCAGGACAGTTAGAGCATCTGGCATCATTCAGATATATAGTGCTCACTCTTTGATTCTACGCATCAAAGTCTGTTGAAGTATTTTAGCTGCTAGGACCTATTAAAATATGTATATATAAAAAATTTAAGAAAATATTTATTATAATTACTATTATCATTGTTTTTATTATTATTATTATTCTTATTATTAGTTTGTTCTTATATTGATATTTATTAAATATTGCTTCGTTTTCAATATAAGAAAATGAAGTATCTTTTGCATTAAAACACCTTTCAATACTTTAAGTCCAATTTAATGTTGTTGTAAATATTGGATGCTTGAGGAAACCCAATCAATATATTTATAAATGAACTACTGGAACAAAGTTTGCTCTACTCTTAGTTGCTGCACCAATTGCTGGGCAAATAAGCAAAAGTCGAGCCAAAAAGTTTCTTCCTGAATTGAACGATACACAATCACCTGGCCAAACAAAAGCCTTGTACTAAAAGTCCTTCTATTTTTCATTTCCTCTCTTTCAGCTTAAAGTGTCAACGACAACGACAACAACAACAACAACAACAACAACAACAACAACAACAACAACGACAACTACTACTCCTGCTACTGCTACTGGGCTATTAAAAGCTCTGCGCTCTGTGTGAACCATAAACGGAAAGGCAAGCAAGGAGCTTTCTACGCAATCTCTCAGTCACCCTCACTCAATACCGCGTGTGTGTGTGTATGTGTGAGAGTGTGTGCGAGTGTTCAAGTAAGTGTGCACAGGTGTGAACACACAACAATAATAAGCAGAACAAACTATTACAGCGGTCAACGAATTTATGTTGCGGCCAGAGTTGTTGCTGGATAAAAGTTTAAATGCCAGGAACAGTTGCCAGCTAGCCGCAAATAGATCCCAAATAGAAAACTTTCGATGAGCGGCGCAACGGAGCGGCTGCTGCTGAGCCTGCAGCAGCCAGGGTCAGGTGTAATGCCCCCATCGGCATCCGGCGACTACGACTGGGCGCCCATCAGCGACGATCAGTTCCTGGCCAGTGCGACCGGCCAGCGCATTGAGGAGACAGCGCGCTATGATCTAACGGACTCCGTGGACGGCACTTTGGCCCCGGTGCTGTTCAATGCGAGCCAGCGATTGCTGAATGCCAGCTATGAGGCGCAGAACGAGAGCGCGGATCTAGCGTGGCTGCGCGAATGTGAGCTGGTTTACAATCCGCAGCTGGAGAATAATTGCATCGAGTTCTGGGTGTGCGGCGTCATACTCAACATTGTTGGCGTTCTGGGCATACTGGGCAATGTGATATCAATGATAATTCTGTCCCGTCCGCAGATGCGCTCCAGCATTAACTATCTGTTGACTGGTCTGGCGCGCTGTGACACGGTGCTAATTATTAGCTCCATGCTGCTGTTTGGCATACCCTCCATTTACCCCTACACGGGCCACTTCTTCGGCTACTACAACTTTGTGTACCCGTTCATATCGCCGGCGATGTTCCCCATCGGCATGATCGCCCAGACGGCTAGCATCTATATGACCTTCACCGTCACCCTGGAGCGCTATGTGGCCGTCTGCCATCCGCTGCGGGCGCGTGCCCTCTGCACCTATGGGCGTGCCAAGATCTACTTCATAGTGTGCGTCTGCTTTGCGCTCGCCTACAACATGCCTCGCTTTTGGGAAGTGCTGAATGTGAGCTACCAGCTGCCCAACACGACCATCGTGCTGCACTGCATCAGGCCCTCGGCGCTGAGGCGCAACCCGACCTACATAAATATATATATACACTGGTGCTACCTGATTGTGAATAACATAATTCCCTTTCTCACGCTGGCCATACTCAATTGCCTGATCTACATGCAGGTCAAGCGCGCGAATCGAGAGCGCCAGCGGCTTTCCCGCTCGGAGAAGCGTGAGATCGGTCTGGCTACGATGCTATTGTGCGTGGTGATTGTGTTCTTCATGCTCAATTTCCTGCCGCTGGTGCTGAACATCTCAGAGGCGTTCTATAGCGTCGTCGATCACAAGCTGACGAAAATCTCCAATCTGCTGATCACGATCAACAGCAGCGTCAACTTTCTCATTTACATCATATTCGGCGAGAAGTTCAAGCGTATTTTTTTACTCATTTTTTTCAAGCGACGCCTGAGTCGTGACCAGCCGGATCTTATACACTACGAGAGCTCAATTTCGAACAACGGCGACGGCACCATGAACCATCGCTCATCCGGCCGCTTCTCACGGCACGGCACGCAGCGGAGCACCACGACAACCTACCTGGTCACCACCGGAGGCAGCAGCTCACTGAACAGCGTTCGGCTCACCCAAGTCTCCGGGTCGCCCGGCCTCCTGCAAATCAAGCGGAATCGAGCACCGTCGCCCGGCCCAGTCGTCTACTATCCAGGTCCACGCGAAATGCAACGCTCCGTCTCCACCACGAACTCGACGACAAATAATAATACGGCCCTGGGCTACGACTGGACCGTGGATGGCAAGAAGCTGGGCCACGTCTCCTCGGGCTTCTGAGCTATCCATAGTAGTGTACATAATGTAGATGATAGTTTCCTAGTCACTTATGTAAATATATACATACTTCTCTCTATATATGTATATACGATATATACTTACTATATATAAACTAAGCGCGCCAAGCGTCGCGTTACTTTGTGATAAGCGTTATGTGTTGCTATGTCCTTCTCTATACTCCACTTAAAGACACCACAAAACACACAGTACAGCAAAAATTTGAAAGAAAACACTCACTCAACTCTGAATAGTTCACAAGTCACACAACATTTATTTCGGCAGTTCTCCAAATGAAAGACTGAGCTTAGATGAACATCTGTAGAGTAATATGAGCAGGATTAAATAGTTTGCGGCTCAATAGGTGTAAGAATAACAAGGCGGAGAGAAATCGACTACTTAATACTCCCTCACAGTCTTAATACTGATACTTCTATCTATGACAGATCCTGGAGGAATATGACCTATGACCTATTATATATATATATATATCTGTTTATAAAATAAAACTTTTCTGAATTTAAATGAAGTAAAATAATATGCTAATCAAAGAACATACATAAAACCTTAACTCAAGGATCATCAAGAATTTTAAATAAAACAAATTCATCCATACATGCAACCGCCCCAAATAGAGCAGTTTGGTTTTTAGACGCTGAGCTCCCAACTGTTAAGATACAGATACATAATTTTTGATTAATCACTCAGAGGGCTCACGTTCCAAAACTATGAAAAATATGCTATATTTGGATATACCAGGTCTTCAGTTAGCCGTAAATCAATTATAAATATTTTCTACCGCCAAAACTTCAGAAAGTTTAAATTTGTCCGACTTTACCCAATGAATATAGTGGGTGTTCATTTCTTAATAATAACAGTAATGCTCGTGCCAAATTTGTCACGCCCTCAACGAGTGTAAATATGTATGCACATCGAAATCTTTTATGTAGAGTGTTCCCATGAGTATATATCAAAATGATTTGCTTCATACGGAAAGGCGGGCAGAATGCAAATAAATAATATCATTTTCATTTTGTAAGCAATTATCACATACATACATATATACACATATATATACACCCCGCAACTGCAATATATATATAAAATTATATGTATAAAATTATAGTTTGAGTAGAGGCAAGCGTCCATGATCTAACTATTACGTCCTCGATATGTGATACTATCCCAAATCATTATGTCAAAATTTCTTGAAGCCGTCTGATAAACTTCAAAACATTTTTGAATTAAGAGTTCTCTTCAAACTTTCTGTATTAATTCATTGAGCTCAAGCGAACCAAATTTGAGAGCGTAATACAAATTTTTGCTGTACTTTAAGGAACCAAACTACACACATAATTAATCCTTTCATTTTGAATTTCTTTTTTATGACTTTCAGTTCAGTTCAATCAATTGAATTTATTTCAGTTTTGCAGTAAATTGAGTTGTGAACCTTTTTTATACACCCACGCTGTAGATTAATGCCCAAGTGGAAGACCATAAACCAGAGCTGACCCGGGCCTTTGGCCAGCGAAACTTTTATTTATTAGGACCAACTTTTTGCCTTTAATTAAATATACTTTCCAATGCATTTTTCAACGAACTTGATAAATGATTTTTTTTTTTTTTCTTTTTATTTTGTTTCTTTTTTTATTTTACATTTCGTTTGGGCTGAAATTATAGAAAACTTTTTCATTTTGTTATCGATAGCAGTTCATATATTTTTTTGGAGGGGGCTTTTGAGTCGACGTTGTAATATGTCAAGTTGTCGGAAAAGTTAACTCAAAGTTCGTCGGTAAATTCAATAACATTAATTCTTTATTACTTTTATCTCTGCCAATTTGCGAAAAGAAACTCAAAGTAGCTCAATTTAAGACGTACACTTAAACAAAACACACACACTTTGCTATGGTAAAAGACATTTTCAGGTGTTCATAAATAGAATTTATTCAACTAACCTCCCAACAGAAAAACAAAAACATCGTTGCTTTTGTATAAATATAATTAATTAACTGAATTTGTAAATATTTCCTATATGATAATTATATAGTCAATGCAAAGCATATATTATACATCAAATATGAAGAGATTGCAGTTTAAAAATTACAATTAAATGTAGCATTAGTTTAGTTTTAATTAAAAATCAATTTAAACTCAAGTTCAATATTTGCTCCTGAGATTCAATAAAGAAAAAAAAACTTCAATAATTGTGAGAACTCACACCCAAGACTTTTACTGAACCAGACACTTTTCATTTTCATTTTCATTTCGAGGAATCGCTAATATAATATGTCATCGTCGACGATTAATTCAATTGCAATTGTGAATGTGTATTTCTAATGGCCACTTAACATTCAATTTATAAGACCTGGGGCGTGGCCAAGAAGTGCCAGCCTCCATGAAACCGGAGCCTAAGCGGATTATGTGGGTGGCACTTAGCACAGAGCTTTGTGCATTTGGCTATGCTAAGCACGTGGCGAGAGCTCAGAGTTTATGTCGCCGACACGGCAGGACACAAGGGAAAATCCTTACAATAATCAGAAACGAAAATGCCATGATGAACGGTCAAATACCCTGCCTAGATAGATTAAGTAATTGAATAGCAAGCACTAGGCATTGCAGAAAGCAAAGCAAAATACCCTATAGCTAGTAGTATTTAGTATCTCAAAACTTATGTCGTCAAAGAAAAAAAAAAAAGCAATATCTATAGGACATAGAGAAATCGATATCCTAAGCATGGCTAACATGAAATACAGTGCTAAAAGTCAACAACATGAAGGAGGCTTTATTTAGCTAGTGAAATGTATCATTTCCACAGCTCTGCATCTCAGCTTATGCACTTCCTTCTTCTTCTAAAACTTACGCTCTCGTTCTTCAATATTTCTTCTTCTTCTGCTTAGGCAATTCACGATCATCGCACTCACGTCAACTATCGACAGCCTCATAGCTATCGATATGGTTAAGTATCAATGTGTATCATGAATATCTATTACAAAAAAATACTATTTTTATTATAAATAACTTTCTATGCGGATTATATAGTAAAAACAAGAATATAAGAATAACTGTGAACCCGCAAACACCCTACAGCGTGAATTACTATGTATATATAATCAGGTGAGTGTGAGTCGTGCCTCTGCTCCAGCAGGTGCTTTGAGCTAGGGGATAATCACGCCAATTGAAGTACGAGCTGTGCGCGGACCTAGGCCATGAGCAGCAGCAACAGCAGCAGCAGCAACAATCTGAATCAGAACAAATGCACAACTAATTAAAATCTGTCGATTTATGCGAACGAGCTTCCCTCCAACTACAGTTAAGCACTTTGGCACGTTTATGGATGCGCCCAGAAATGTGCTTTGAAAATTTGGCCACAGATTGAAAATGTTTGCCTCTGGCAGCAGCAACAAAGGCGGTTCGCTTTAGCTTTCGCTTTCGCGTTTGCTTTTGCTTTTGTGGAAATTTTGTTATGCCTGCCACAGTCGAGTGTGGCCTGGCTTTGTGATAAAGACAATAAATCAGCTTGGATAATGTCAACAGTGAGCTGAACGAGAGCCCACAAAGCACAAACACACAAAAAAAAAAAAAAAAAAAAAAAAAAAAAAAAAAAAATAGCAGCCAGACAAACCCAAGAGTCGAGTTATTTTTAGTGCTGATGACTTTGAATTTTGCCAACGGATTCTAAACAGTTTGATGTGTTTTTAATGCTATGAGGATTATCGGGCTCTGCGTTAGGCAGATGATGATGAGTTCATGCCGCAATTGTTGTTGCTGTTGTCCTTGCTCTGTTGTTTGGCCAACAGCTTGGGGCTATGCTGGAACTGGTTTGGGTTTGTTTTGGGGGTTGGCTATACTCCAGCTATTGACAAACGATATCAACTTGCACTTTGTCACCAGCTTTGATGCTTCACGAATAGTGTTGACCCCGTCAGGGTGTTGTCAAATTAATTAACTGTCTTTGTCAGAGACGAACACATGGCATCTGCTGCACAGCTTCAAATTTAATTAATCTTGGACATTTGGCTTCGCCATGTTCAACTTGTAAGCGTCGCCAAGTTCTTTGACAACTCTTGTTTAGTTCTCAAAGCATTTTCACCGAAACTACGAAACCCACAAAACATTGCCGAGGCAAACTCGATTTCCTGCCTCCCAGGACTCTACTTTACGCCAACCACAATGGCTCGACTATCACCGACCGAGATCTTAACTACCCTGCGGCTGCTGTACAGCAGGATTCAAGTTTAAGTAGAGCTGCGTCTCTGGGCAATCCGCAGTTGCGCCCATACAATTAGCTTGTAATGCTCGCAATTACATTACAGCCCATTTCCATGGTTGCTTGGCGGTGTGTGGCATCTAGCGAACCAGAGCCGAAATATAAACAAGGTTAAGCTAACAATGACACAATTCTGTGCGTAGCACATGGCGCGTGGGTGCTAAGCAAAAAAACAACAAGCCCTAAAAAAACAGCTGAGTGTGCGGCATATGTGTTAAAATTATCCTACCGAAATAGCGGAAAAAACTAAAAAATTGTAACCGACAAGGCAATTCTCTACTCCCAGTAGTTGGTATCTGACTTGGAGTCGGTAACAATTTACTACAGCAGAGTTACATATCTAATATGCATACTCAGTCTCATAGCTAGTGGGCTCACACAGTCTCTAAAATTCACAGGGTATCAAGCAAACAAAAAAAGACAACCACCGAGTATACTAATCGCACGTGGCGTCTTTTGCGACAAGAGTGCTACAGCTTTTGCAGGCAATATTTTTTAATGCCGCTCACAGCTGTAGGCCACAGTGGGCACTGGTCATTGAAGGGCTTTATTTCTGTGCACGGCGATAAGCGCTTGAAAAACGCGCCGTCTGACCCGGGCAGAGAGGCAGACAAGTGGCGGCCTAAGTGGTCGGGTGTGAATGACGAGCAAGAGGTTACGGTAAAGCACCGCACCACCACACCATCGCACCAACCGTAGGCGACACAATGGCAGGCATGGCATGCCGTTGACAGTGTGTTGAGCTTTGCGGTGGGGCTCACTTCTGACTGCACTTGTTCCAAGTTTTGACAAGGATTCCACGGCCAGACAAACGCTGTGGCCAGCGAGACAAAGAAAACAAAAAGGGAAAAGTGAATGAATCTCAATTCTCCAGCTATCGGGGCTATTGGAAAAATATTGATTTATTGTCTGAATACTAATTTCACATATCAATGCAGGCCAACTGAAGCGAGAGACGAGCTTACAAAACACAACACACACATCACTCAATATTGATTCGTCTATAAATCGGTCTACGCTAAAGATACTCAATTATATCACAGAGTCTGGGCAAATATCCATCTGGCACTAAACGCATTTGCTTCTTTTGCCCTCTATCGCGTATCCTTTCCACTTTCTCCAATTCTGTGACACCCGATCCCACAAGAATTGACTGAAATCCATTGTAATTGGCAAATTTTATATCGGTTTCAAGTCTGTAAAGAAACAAAAGATTTATATTATATAAAATTTTTCTATTACATATAGATTAGAAGAGTTTGAAATATAATTATTTATACAAAGCAGGAATATTTTCTTATTTGTTTTTAAGCTACGTCGAGCTGGAGTAATTTATTAAAATCTTTTTTTTTTCCAAATAACGCAAATAATCTCGTATAAGACGTAACAGATTAGAATAAAAGCCCAGTGATATTTTTCTGGCTTCTTTTAAGCAAGGTCTCCTAACTAGGATACTCCTCAGACTTAATTAGATATGCTAAGTCAAGACGAACTATGTTAATTTATAAATTTATGGATCTCTTACTTACGTGTCGCCGATCATCAGCGTAGTTGCTGGATTGATAGCTCCGCTCTCGATGGGCTCTCGGACAATCCAGGGGTTTGGCTTGCCAAGAATGAGGGGCTTGCGTGAAGTTATCGTCTTAACTAATGCTATCATGGCAGCCGCGCCGGCTAGAACGCGATTATTGCCAATGGGATAGGCAGCATCCAGGCAGCAGCCGAGGAACAGAATTTGAGGATTTCTCAAATAGTGACAGGCTCTAATAACACTGCACATATTAAAGCTGTCATCGCGGCCCACAACAACGGCACCCACATCTTCGTCTACCTCCATCTCAAGGGCGAAATCCCGCATAGACTTTTCAATCTTCTCATTTCTGAATTGAAACGCACATATATTCACGTCTGCCAGCTCCTCGATAATGCCGACCCCTCCCACAACGAAAACCTTTTGCTGAAAGTTCTTGCTGCTCAGAAAGCTGGCAACGGACTTCCCCGAGTTAAGCACGTGATCTTTGTGCACATTAAAGCCGAAATCGCGAGCCTTTAGCCTAATCTTTTCGCTGCACAAGCACGAGTTGTTCGTCACTATAAACGTGTTGCGTCCAGTATCTTGAATTGCATTAAAGGCCTCGACGGAGCCGTCAATAGCTTTGTCAAAGTGCCACAGCACACCATCAGCATCGCAGATAATAGTCTCAAAGCCGTTCAGCCACTGGCGCACCCGTTGGATGGATAAGGTAGTAAGGTTGGTGCAGGTCTGCTTGAACATGTTTGATCTTAAAAATAAACCTACTACATTCAAAGGAAATAAAAATTTGAATTTTTGAAATAATTATCTGCGAGCACTCGATAGGTAACAAATAGGAGTGCTATCCGTTTTTGCAAGTGCACACAAAGAAGCAACACTATCACATTTACACCGTTAAACGAAAAATTTAACTTATGAAATAAAAACCAAAAATTGAAATTACTTTAAATAATACTTTAATAAAAAAGCTGAATAAAATCTTGCAAGTAAACACATGGGCTGAAATGTATTATTCGATAACTATTTCATTTCAATTTGGAATAAGTAAGAAAAGAAAATGATTTGATTTTTAATATCTAAATAATTCAATGAAAACTATCGTTGGTTGAATTAATCGAAGAGAAATTATCGAGTAGAGTCCTAAAAGCCCTGGGCTGTTAGTAGAGTTTATCAATTGTCAGTTTATTAACGGCTAACAGTTCTCTAGTATTTTTGCTGAAGTCAACGATTTTTAGATGGCAAAAACTTTAATAAGTCGGAAATACTGGGCAGGAAAAGATCGGGAATCTGTCGGTACATCATTGGATCCTTGGACTTCTGCGCTTTAGAGACATCGTCAAGGGTCGTGTTCCCAGAGCCCACCAGCAGAGTTTGAAAGCCGCAATTATAGCCGAACAGAATATCAGTGTACAAGCTACAAATAGAAGTTAAAATATTTAATTAGTTCAATCGAATGCCAAATAATCGGTGCAGTAGCTTACGTGTCGCCTACCATGAGGGTGCGCTCCGGTTTGATAATGCCCTCCCGCATCAGATGCAAGCACATGAGGGCATTGGGCTTGCCGCAGGTGAAGGGCGGACGATTGGCTATTGCCTGCACGGCGGAGACCATGCTGCCAGCGCCAGGGATGAAGAGGTCCGAGTTGACGGCAAGCGCTCGATCTTGGTTGGTGGCCAGGAAGATTACTTTTGGGTTGCGCAAATAGCAGCAGGCTTTCGTCAGCTTCACCACATCGAAATATTGATCGATGCCCACCGCCACAGCACCCACATCTGGATCCATGGGCATGTTTAACACTTGATCGCGCAAAGAAGCGCCTTCCAGGGGGCGTTCCTTGATGGGTATAGATTCAATGCCCACATCCTTCAACTCATCAACGATGCCCTGACCCCCGATGATGTACACCTTTCTCTTGAATCCACGCTCCTTTAGATAGTGGGCCAATGCCCACGCTGAGGAAATAATCTCATTCTTTTCCACGATAATGCCCAATCTCACGGCCTTGTCGAACAGTTGTTGCCGCGACCATGCCGAATGATTGGTGCAGATGAAAGCCCGTTTCCCCATTGCCCGCAAGGCATTGAATGTCTCCGGAGCTCCATCTACCGGATTGTCGAACCTCCAGAGAACACCGTCCGCATCAAAGATCATCGCGTCGAATGTTTTCATCCACTGCTGAATACTAAACTTGTTCAAGGCAAGCAGCTGACAGACACCCTTTCTGAACGGCATTATGCAATTTGTTCTGTAGTGACTTCGTGTAGTAAAATGGAACAATGAGCATTTCCTTTCAACGACTTGAATTTATTTGTGATTTGAATGGACAAAAAACCTGGGTTGCTATTTGTTGAATAACTGAAATGTACAATTCTACTAAATATATATTTAGGAACTTTTATTATTAAGTCAAGGAAATATGCTAATCACGAATCGAATTATATTATATGAGTTTAGATAGAGTCTGGTAGCCTATATATTACGAATCGCTTAAATGTGGGATTTTTAAGCTTAATTTTTATACCGAAATACATGTATCAATGGAACTTATAAAAGGTATACCACGCCTTCTTAGGCGGGACAGAGTTGATAGTTCCTTCATTCAGATTTTGAATAGGAATATGAATATGGAACATCTTCTTTCTCCTAATGAATGGACTTCCCACCCAAATTTACAAATACTAACGATTGTCCTAATGATGACGTGATAAATATATTCAATCTGGGTAATCTGCTAGAGATCGTATATATCAATGTGCTGCTTTCAATATATGTACATATGAATATATAAAAGAAGCGTCGAATATTACCTCTTGGCGATGTTCAGATTATCTCACATTCGAGAAATCCCCTAGAGTTTTCTCACTTAATTATAAATGGTTTTATACCACTACAGGGATCTGCATATTTATCCTCAGCGTGTTCTTGCAATTAAATATTGGTGCACCTAATATTGGATTACAATTCCCAAGTGGTTAATGTCAATGTAAATGTCACTCATTTTGCAAATGGCGGCTGCTTCGGCACTCTGAGCAGTCTAAAGTGAACCGAGTAGACATCTTTGACGCTGTCTTAGCATAAATGAAACTTTTCAGGCAATTTATCAGCGAGAAGTGGAGCTGAGTTGAATTTCGCAACTTGACTTTGCAGACTTTACAGAGCAGCTTAGTGGCTGTTCGCACAACTTGAAATTAGTTGACAATACTCACCGAGGAGTCAGCCAGGCAAGGTCATGGCTGACGCATTTAATTCACTAAACTTTGCGCATTTGTTACGAGCGTTTGGCCATTGCAGGCAGCGATGCGGTCGAGTTGCCCGCTGAGCAGCGGCACAACTTTTAATTGAGCGAAATGAAATGAAAATACTCGACATCCACTTGAAAGAAGAATGGCGAAATACCATGGACCAATTCTTCGGTGTTCTGTGTTCTGTCTAAATCGCCTTAGCGCCAGAGGCTGTCAGGTTCAGCCAGTCGCACCCGCGGCGCCAATTAAAATGGCATTTGACTTGGGTGTTGCTCCTGCCGGGCTCTCAACTTGGCCACTTCCCCGAGTTGACACTTGCATTGTGGCACCTTTGGGCTCTATTCGTGAAAACGTGTTTGCTTGCGGCTATTTGGCTATGGAATTCAAATAAATCTGCAGCAATTTAGCGGATTTTCGCCCCGAAATTGTGTCAAATCGCCAACGGCCATATCCCTTATAGACCTTGGCCTGAACTCGTTTATTGCGACATAAACGCGAATTAACGAGCCAAATTTGAAAGCCTTTGGAATAGCTAAGCTTTTGGCTAAATAAGCCTCAATTTTTATTTCAAGCATCAGCAAAGTGTGTTATGAAAATGTTAATCAAAATTATGATTCAGACCCGAGATACGTAATTGAATCTAAGCCAATCTGGCAAAAGCAGCGAATCCATTCAGATGAAGAACGGCTCAAGCTAAAATCTAATTTATTTATCCTCTATATAAATAAAAGCAAGTTGTGTTAGTTTCTTAAATGTATTATAACTCTATGATTATTTTACATATATTTGTCGGAAATAGAAAGACCATAATTTCGCAATAAAAATGTAGTAATAATTGTTTCGCAATGAATGTCGATGCATCATTACGAAACAATTATTATTTCAACGAGCTCAAAAGAGCTCTACTTTGTTTATGACGTTCATTAGATTTCATATTTTGCTTGCATACAATGCTGAGATCGAGAATATATAATCTCTCCCGATAATGCCTGCCTCTCACAACGTCGTATGTCAATCAGGATTCGAAATTTTACAACTGATATTACGAGAGCAAAAAGGCAGCCCGTGAAGCGTTCCGCCCGGTCAATTGAAGGTGCCATGTTCACGAGTGGGAAAACCATCTGCCTTATTTGTTTACGCATCTGATATAAAAACAAGAAATGTGGTACATAAAAAACTTAGTCGCAGTCAGTATTATTACAACGCACGTCATGTTGGGCAGGTCTACTAAAATTGTATATAAATTGTTGGTTTTATGGAACATACACTTGTGAAAATTATATGGAACGAGCTTTAATTAAGAGCCAGTCGAGAGCTCGTATACATACTTCAACGCGCTTGAAAAAAGCGAAAGCCCAAAGGGCAGTTTCCACTATAGCCTTTGTTTAATTTTGATGTGATAGTGAATCATATTTCCGGTTGGGAATAAAAACTGTATCGCACAGTGCATAGCTCATAGCCAATCTGAACAAATATAAAATTTTACCACTCACATATGCAAAGATAGCTGTCGAGCGAATATAAAATCAAAACCGAAAATTGTGTTTTGTGTATAACAGGGCTTTACCGGCTCTAGAAAAGTAAGACAAGCAAATTGGATTTAATATGAGTTTGTAACATGAAAGCGAAATAAAATTTATTGATTTCCAGGTGTGTGCGCAGGACTGAACTCGAAGTAAATGCTAAAGCCAATATATGTGTGCAGCGAACTGTGAAGAGAACACTTTGTTAACAGGATTTTCAGCTAATTTCTTTAAACAAATCGCTTTTATTTTCCGTTAGCATGATTTCCAAGCACCCTTCTTATGAAAACAATTTAACGGAAATTCGATGGCAGAAACTTAACTGAAATACCCAAAGTTTGTGCAGCCTATGCTGGAGGAGCAGGCCATGACTGCGTTGTCACATCCAAAGCCTCGAGGACATGGGCCAAAAGGCAAAACTTTTTTATTAGGTTTAACAAGAGCAAGCTAATTTGCTTGGCACTTGTGCTAATGTTCGGTGTCTCTAATTAATACCTTGAAAACCTGGACGAAATATGACTTGATTTATATGTTAATTATAATTACTAATTACTGAATTGTAGCTCGACTGGGGGAAAAGTATAATTCTTGACAAGATACAGATGAAATTAAAGTTTTACGCAAAGCAATGGGCACTGGATCATCCTCCTGCCATTTGGCACCTGCCGGTTCTCTGACGTCAGCAAGAACAATGGCAGCAAGCTGAAATTATCAAACTGCCCCCCATTAATCATGCGCACAGATACCGTCACTGCTTCAGCTGCTCCGCACATCCACAAAGACACAAATCGGAGGGGCTCAAGTATGGATTGTTTGGAATGCCATTGGCTGTGATTGAGTTGTCCATTTGGCCAGTTTGGTTTGTGCCGATCGGATGTAGATGAGCTGTCTTGAGTGTTCGCCGTATGGCCTGATGGCGCTTATGGGGGATTGCGTTTTTTCCTGTTATGACACGCATAAAGAAGCATGTTTCCCAGTTTCCTTACCAGACAAACTACTTTCAGTATCATTTTTTTCACACATAT